AGAGCAGCGCCCTTCTTGTATCTGAGAGCCTGAACATTTCTTTTTCTGCCCTTCTCAGTCTAAGTCTAGTCTGAGGTTACGAGAGGAAGGCGGCAGGCGGGATTGCAACCCGTAATCCGCGCCMAGGCCTCTGTGGGAGGTTGCCCCACCGATTGCGGGAGCTCTGCCGGAGCCCAGRCGGGGTTCTGGAGGCAGGGAACTTCAGGTATATTTTMGTCTGACGCGTGTGAACCCTTCCCCTAAACTATTATTCCTTTGGACTATCTGAGAACATAATTATGAAAGGTTATTACTTTTTATTTTTGTTATGTATGTCAAGACATGCTTTGCGAAAGGTTTAAATAAACAGTTATATATGAGATATCAGATAACTCCTTGAGAGAATTCAGACAAAGGTAAATTGGGGAAGGCAGGAGGAAGGCGTTATGCATGCGTTCTGACCGGGTTAACCCAAGGCTGAGCCCCTCCGGGTGGATGTGGGCTCAGTGCTATGTTTTATTAAGGTTTGCTAATCTGAATGAGTGACTCTTACGGCTGGTCTACCCGGGTGGGATAGGATCAGTCGCTGTTTTATTTGAGGGTTTCTGAACAGGAGGATGGGCACCCCGAGTGGGGAAGGCTCAGGATCCTGGTGTTTATTTTAATGAGTTGTGGTGCGTGTTTTCTTCTGAGGGAGTAACGACATAAGACTAAGCATACCCTAGGGTTAGGGCGGCTTAGCCATGAGCCATGAACTAAATGGTCAACCAGAGTATAAAACTTGATATATATACAATTTGAATTTATACTTCTGACAGACCGGGCGCCCCGGGTGGGGAAAGCCAGTCAGTAAGTCAGGTAGAACTAAGGAAGAGGGAAAGAGATGAAGAGTAAAACAAAGGTAACTGGGTAGACTCAACGTACCCTAGGGTTAGGGCGGTTCAGTTATATGCTCATGATAACACTAAGGAGCAGAGAGTTAGTATAAATCTGTTTTATTTTCCCTTCTAGACATGAGGCAGGATCGGAAGTTCCATTTATTGGAAAGGTCCGATCGACTGCTTAATAAGAGAAGGAAAAACATAAAGTCTGTGAAAGTATTTGTACCCTATTTTATGTTGTATGGCTAACTAGGCCTAACCCTAGGGTTAGGGCAGCCTAGCAATAAGCTTTTGTCGTTTAAAGTAAGTTGGACGTACCCTAGGGTTAGGGCGGTCCAGCGTTTCGGAGTTTATAACTGTTCAGGCATATCAGGCACACCCTAGGATTATGGCAGTCTGAACACATTGCCTTATGTAACTTAAACTGTATAGCTAACTAGGCGTACCCTAGGGTTAGGGCGGCCTAGCGATATGCTTTTGTCGTAGATGTGCTGTGGGTTGGACGTACCCTAGAGTTAGGGCGGTCCAACTTTTTATCGTTTGTATTTATGTTCAGGCAAGCTAGACCTACCCCTGGGTAGGGATGGTCTAGAATGATGTCGTATGTAACTTTGTTTAAAGCAGATTGGGCACACCCTACGGTTATGGCAGCCCAGTTCTATGCTATTTGTCGTCAGTTAGGCAGAAGTCAGGCGTACCCTAGGGTTAGGGTGGTCTGGTCATATGCCTTATGTGTACAGTTCATGTTATGTTGGGCATACTCTAGGGTTAGGGCAGTCCAAATGTGCGTACTTTACTTGTGTACCTAGGCAGGTCAGGCATACCCTAGGGTTAGGGCCTTGTCTGACCGTATGCCATAGGAAAGGGGGACATAAAAGAGAAGGAACTAAGCGATTTAACGAACTACTTGGACTAAATTAATGTGGGATTGTGAGAGATATTTGGTTATGCATGCTTATGGACTCCCACTCTGGGGCATCTCTCTGATAGTTTAGTTGCTTTAGGTGCTCGCCGAGTGCTAGAGCTATAGGCAAGTAGGATGGATGATGGGAGAGAAAGTTTGGGATAAGATAGGACTGACTCTACTAGGAGTTAGGATCAGTGTTATCGTACAGCCTCATCAAGAGGTCGTACAGATTGTCGCTGATTCTACCTTCCAAGTAAGTGTCAGGAGTTAGTCCCAAGTATAGCTTCGCTTTGTCTTTCTGTTTTCAGCTTTGTATAAATCTTGGCAGCCTCCTTTTTCTACGGGAAGCGCTGCCGAAATTTCTACAAATCTGAAAGATTTAGTCATTTTTGGACTCGTAGAAATTCTGGGAAGGCACTTTTCCTACGGGAAGCGTTGCCGAAATTTTGCAGAAATTAAGGAGTTAGAATATTCTCAGTTAGGAGAAATCTGGCAATCCATCCTGTTTAGGGGATATACTGTCGAAATTTCTTACATTTTTAGATAAACATCAGAGGTTAGTTAGGAAGGTAGGATTATATCTTGATCACTTAAGCATGACTTGGGTACTGGCATGTGCTGCATTGCAGGTCACTTTTATTCATATTGATTCAAGTCTTGACTATCTTCAAATTGATCCTACAGGGATCACCTTCTGTTATCCTTTGATAACAGGTCGGTTTCCGGCTCAACTCTAATCCACTCTTGCTATTCAACCTAAAGGCTTTAGCTCTGTGGTTTGATTTGTTTTGTTGTGTTTTTACCCGGATTTTAATTGAATGGTCATTTAATAAAGATGATGAGTATTTTATTTTGGGAGTTGCACAAAGAGTGAGGTTTGTATGGCTAAAGCGAGGGGTGTGACCGCAGAGAATAATTGAAGTTGACCCCGTGTTGTGTGTGCTCTGTTGATGTGGATCTTTGATGTGATTGCAGGTATGTTTTGTGAGTTGAATCCAGACTTGATTTTTTTTCAATGATTATATATATACTTTTGAAGGAAGTCGCACAGTGATTGTGAGAGTGATCGTCGCCTATCTCATAACTTTTATATCATATTTTATTGTGTCCGCACGACCCATTGAGGTCGTGCACAGTGATTAAATAAGTTATGCATCGAGAGAAAAAAGAGATCCCTTCTTAGCTCTTGCTTTTTAAAATTAGCATGGTTGGACGTTGTAGTCCGTGACAGCCGTCAAAGTCAAACCCCTTGATATTTGACCGCCACGACAGCTTGGAGCTGTCTACTCAACCCCTCTGCACAGGGTGCAGAAGAGGGTGTGGTCTTCAACCGCACATGGCGGTTGTCTGGCGTCAAGAGATTACCCCTTAAAGCGCCTATCAGCCGACACTTGAGCGTCGAACGCGACCCTCGAGATTATCAAGGGCCGCGAGGCTACGAGTACTACATAGTACCCCATCAGCGCGAGTGCTTGCGTATGCCCGCATGACTGGTTGATATGAGGAGGCCATGCGCTCGCTCGGTACTTATAAAGAAATCCAGCGCGCGATACCTATCTGATTCTTGCTGCATAGAGTTATGGGTCGGATACTGAAGGGACTAGGAGTATTGTTGTGTCGTGGTGTTGTTCGTAGTGGTTGTTTTGTGTGTGTCCATGTGTTATGCTGGTAAGTGTGAGTGTTGTGGCGTAACGCGTGGTGTGTAGGGTGCGTCCTAGTCGACCGACGCAGGGTCGCGCTTGGGACTTCAGCAGCCCCAGTGCGTCGATTCGCGTGCGGGTTCGATTTTGGGCGTTCGACCACGCGTACCCCCTATGCTACAGCGAGCGAGAAACACCCTCGAGTGGGCCACCTCTGCAATTGCATACGAAAAACTTTCACATGTGGTTCATTAGCTCGGCGGGGATACGCCCACCTAAGGGATGGTGACAGCTCCCGCGGGTGGAGGTAAGCGGTGCCTCGCGTGACCCTGTCCTGTCGTAGGGGCTCGTGAGAGGTACGGCTGGCGCACTCGGCCGGAGCGGCAAACGCTCTCCGCGACAAGTCCTGCCAAATCCTGCGTGACGCGGCCGGGAGGGTCCCCGTGCGGGACCGATGCGCTCGACAACGCGTAATTCCCATGTAATTCCTGAATTTGCAAAACACAAAATTCCAAAACTCGATCTGAAGGTCCTGCATATTACATTCATGAAAATACAAAAAGAGGCCTCGTCGGGCTGTTAACAAAATTCGACAAAGAGAGGGGGGGGGGGGGGGGGGGGGGGGGGGGCGGAAGATAGCGCACGTCCGGAAGCTGGCGCGTCACATATGTTATGCGCATGGGGTGCTCAAATTATGTGATGTCCTGATACCTGTCAAGATAGCCAATTTACGTGTCGGAGGAGGAAGGGCGAAGGGATGAACGAGGAACCGAGCGTATCAGAATGGGCAGGATTTCGTGTCAGCACCAGATCGGG